TCATTTGATACCAATCATTTCCTTAGCATCCTCTACCTTGCCACTTTCCTAATTTAATTTTATAACTTATATGAAGGCAGTATTCAAAGCACCTAATCCATGCATGTAATGTCAATCTTAGCTCAGTGGAAACTCTATGAGAGGTTTTTGAAAAAGCATTATATTTTGATTGTTGATATTTCTACAAATACTTGAAAAAAATTACTTAAAAACGAAACTTTTCAAGCCACTTTTCAATCAATTATTGTGCATTGGAACTTAAGTTTGATAATAAAGGAATTAAAGACTGTTGGTTTCAAATTACTGTTCTTGAAGGAAATATATTCTTCTGTAATAAACTCAGCACTTTCTTTTACATATTGAAATCGTACTGGATGGCATTAAAGTGTAAAGGTTGGTTTTCCATTAGTTTCCATAGTGAATCGCCAGATTATTCAATATAAAGTTTAAATAGAACAATGCAGGATAATATTAAAGATTGTTCCTCAACATAACTTACACATAAGGCGAGTCAAACAAAATAATTATGGCTTTTACACATAAGGCGAGTCAAACAAGATAATTATGATAATTATGATAGATTTTCAAGAGCTAAAAACTCTTTGAATAAAAAATTTTTCCCAATTGAATTTTTTTTTATCGGAGTTTCTATTCGCACGTTTTTCACGTGCGAATAGAATATATTTAATTATAATTTATTCTCACGTTTAATTAAAAAAAGATAAAGATCATCGAATTTGAAGTGATTTAAAAAAAATTAGATTTATTATTATTGGTTTTTCAATTTAAAAATAAACTAGCGTAGTGGAGTACTAACGCAGAACTTACGTTGACCGACTTATGAAGGATATGCGCACCGTAGTGTATAACATATTGACTGCTTATCTAGGGATAGGCACACTGTAATTTAAATACAATGACGAAGATTTTGGCTTGGACAGGCAATCTTTTAATTAAAAAAAAAAAGTACTTCTTAATGTTTATTTTATCTATTGGCACGTTTTTGTTTGTTTTTGAATAAAAATTTAATTATGTTTAAGTAATTTTATTTATTTTTATTATAATTGATTAAAAAAATGGAAAGCCACTTATATTTAAGTTCCTAGTTTATTTACAGACAGAAAAATCACTGCCAGACTAATTATAGCATTAGAAAGGATTCTAGATAAAAACACCCCATTAAAAAATCAGATTAAAGAACTAATGTTGCCTAAATAATCCCGTACAAATTGTTGTTGCTAAAACAATAACTGAAATAAACAATAATTTTTTAAAAAAAGAGAAAGATATAAATATTTACGTCCTTCCCGAAAAAAACTCAACTAATGCACTTGAACTTACCATTAACGAAAAAAGTAACATGTACCAATAACAGCAAAATAAATGCGACACATTTATTTGAATTGAAGTAAGTACTGGAAGATTAAAGAGAGTAATTCAATTCAAAAACTGAAATTCAAATAAAATAGACAACAGATTAACTCTCCTCTTAGAAGAATTTGACAATATCTTATCACGTCACAACAACAGGGTTTCGTGTCAAAAATGACTTTGAAAAAAAGACTTTGTTAGTACAGCTTCACTATCTTAGCAAAAGCATTCAAGTTTTTATGAATAGAAGATAAAGCAAACAATAGTTCTTTAAAAAATTCATCGATTTGATACATGAAATCAATTGGGAGCTCATAACTGAGTGCAACGAAGAGAATAATGTTTATGATCTTTTTATACGCTTGTTTTTTAATCAATAAAAAGATTTTTCGAAGAAAGATTGATTCTAAAAACCTAATTATTTTAAAAATTAATAAAAGACTGCTGTCCATAAAGAGAAGACATTATTCATAACAGAATATCCACTATATCGAATCATCTTCCTCCGTCCGTCGTACTCTCTACATTTTTTAATACATTCAAAATACCTTTATATGAATACTTTACTATGAATATGAAGTTACAGGCTGATACAGAGTGTGCTAATTACTTACTCTCGTTAATCATTTTTTAAATTAGTTCTTTTAATTGTTATTTTTTTAAATTTTAGCAATAAATAGAAATAATAACTATTATTTATAAAAAGAAATTGAAATTCTTTATTTTATATAACCGGTATATATCGAATGACTTTATATGTTTTTAGTTATTTAGGTGCTTCAAAAAATCCTTACTAATCAAAGAGTTATAAAATAGCTGGAGTGAGAACGAAGTTTAGAAAAATTTGTAAATCCTAGAGTTAAATTATTTTTATTTTTTATGTTATTCTTTTTGAACGACTAATTATAAATTTCTAGTTTAGAACTAAGACTTATTTCTAGATCCGTCACTAAATTGAGTTAATGAATGTCTAGATAAGAGTTAGTAGTTTTTTTTTTTTCCGGATTTACAAAAAGATATTTCATAAATCTCTTTAACCTTTGTAACCTATTAAATTCTTTGAGTGAAAATTTTTTCCAATTGGGAAATAAAATATTTAATGTCTCTAATGAAAATTTAAAAAAACATATTTTGCTGACATAAGCAGTTTTTAAGATACGGATGATAGCGAGTATGGATACTACGGGCCTTAAAGGAAGCAATTTTAGAATTTTTATCATCCTAACTCTAAAAAGTTAAAAATATATTTTTATTTCATCAACCTAGTTTAAAATGTTAAGGTGAGGTCAAGAAGTCAGAAATGTTTTTAATTTTATAAAAAATTCTATAAAATTGGAGAGCCAGTACCCTGGCCCCCTGCTACGTTGGCCCTGTATATATATAAATACACACACATACATTTTTTATTTTTTTTTTATTTTTTTAGGTGCCCCAAGAAGTCCTTACGGTCTTATCATAAAGCACCGCGGAAGAGCATTTAAAAGGAAGTTCACGCCTCCTTCCCAACCGATGTCGCAAAACTTGCCCAGAGGTGGGGCTTGAACTACGGATCTTACGTTTCTGAGGCAAGTGCGCTACCACTGCGCCACTACATATATATATATATATATATATATATATATATATATATTATATATATATATATCATATATACATATATATATATACATATATATATATATATATATATATATATATATATATATATATATATATATATATATATACATATATATATATATACATATATATATATATATATATATATATATATACATATATATATATATATATATATATATATATATATATATATATATATATATATATATATATATATATATATATATATATATATATATATATATATATATATATATATATATATATATATATATATATATATATATATATATATATATATATATATATATGTATATATATATATATATATATATATATATATATATATATATATATATATATATATATATATATATATATATATATGTATATATATATATATATATATACAGAGGTGTACACTAGATTTTAAGATGTTTGAGTTTAGACATTTACAGGCATTGTGCAAACTCCTATGTTCATTCTTATGTCAAATAATAATGTTTTGCACAGATTTACGGTGATTGGAGCTTGGAAACAAAAACCCTATATTTTCAGGCCCACCCAGCCTTTATCGTGAGAAGAGCAACGAGTTTATAAAATATTTTCTTTACAATTTTTATCTAAACTTATATTCATCAATAAATTTCAAATTTCATGCAATAATTTCTTAGTCTTCAGTTTTCATGACCCTGCAAAGTTAAGAGCCCCTTCAAATCGAGGAGAGTTTAAACTTTATATAATCATAATTTTTAAATATAAAAGATTAATGCATGAAATTTAAAATTTGTTATTGATTACAATATATATATATATATATATATATATATATATATATATATATATATATATATATATATATATATACATATATATATATATATATATATATATATATATATATATATATATGTATTTATACATATATATATATACATATATATATATATATATATATATATATATATATATATATATATATATATATATATATATATATATATATATATATATATATATATATATATATATATATATGTATATATATATATATATATATATATATATATATATATATATATATATATATATATATATGTTTTTACCTTTTATATACATTTTGTACCTTCGTTGAAATATATACCTTATATGGATATTATAGCAACAACTGAGACCTCGGCTTTAAAACTAGAATATAGCAACAAGATTGAAAATGCGCAGGATTTGAAAAAAAATGTATTAAAAAAACTTAAAATGGGTAAAAAATTAAATCAAAATTTAACTAGAGAACAAAGGAAGGCTTTTATTGAAATTAAGGAAGACAAACTTATCGATATATATCCGTTTGATAAAGGTAATGGTTTTGTAAGAATAGAACACAATAAAGCTTTAGAAAAAATTCGCGAACAAATTGGCCAAATCAGAGTTTTAAGTGAAGATCCCACTTCTAAGTATGCTATTAAAATTAAAACTTATCTCTCACAACTTAATAAAAAACAGCGATTTTAAAAAATAGAGTATGATAATATATATCCAAGTGACCCTATCCCACCTCGTATGTATGGTCTAATTAAAGCTCATAAACCTGAAAAATCCTATCCTATGAGAACAGTTATATCAACTATCGGCACTCCTAATTATGGAATATCTAATTATTTAGTCAAGAAAATACAACCTGTTTTAAACAAAAATAAGACACGTCTGAAAAATTCGTTTGATTTTATTAGTGAAGCAAATTCATGGCAGATTGAAAAAAACGAGGTTCAGGTTTCATTTGATGTAATAAACCTGTATCCATCAATTCCACTAAAGGAAGCCACTTTAATTCTTATAGACCAATTAAATAAGGATGATTCCTACAAACATTCCACCAAGCTTACCATCTCCGAAACAAGACAACTTATAGAACTTTGTTTACACCGTTGTTATTTCTTGTGGAACAATGAGATCCATGAATTAAAGAATTTCGGTCCTATAGATCTTTTATTCATGGTTGTACTAGCAGAATCTTTTTTACAACATCATGAAGAAAACGCTTTTAAAATTGCAATGGCAGTAAATGCTCCTCTTGACCTAAAATCCTATCTTCGATATGTTGACGATAGTCATGCTAGATTTTCTAACGCTCAAGAAGCAGAACAATTCCTAATTATCTTGAACAAACAACACCCTGCAATACAATATACAATCGAAATTGAAAGTGAAAATAGAACTCTAAACTTCCTCGATTTAACCATAGTAAATAACACCAAAGGTAAATACGAGTTTAAAGTTTACAGAAAGGACGCCATTACAAATATTCAAATTAAACCTCACTCAAATCATGACCCCAAAATTCTAAACGCAATATTTAAAGGTTACGTTCACAGAGCTTACTCTATATGCAGTGATTTATATTTAGAAGATGAAATTAGTTTCCTAATTCACGTATTTAAAGAGAATGGATACAACATATGTCAACTTACACGCATTGCAAACTTAATCGGAAATAAACGGTCCATAAAAAGCAACAAAATTCAATCAGGTCCTTTTAATCTCCCTACTGTATCATTACCGTGGATACCATCACTATCCCCAAAATTAAGGAAAATATTTCGGAAAGTTGGCTATAAAGTAGTCTTCAAATCAAATCCTAATTTAAGAACACTTTTAACATCAAAAAACAAAACTAAATTGCCACAAAATAGTCAACCCGGAATTTATCTAATTGAATGTGAATGCTCAAAGAGATACGTATGCGAAACCAAACTTCAAATTAGGACTCGAATTCAACAACATCAAAAAAGTTTAAACGAGGGGAAACATTATCAGTCGACAATAGCCACCCATAATAAGTTTTGCTCACAAGAAATAAAGTGGGAGGATGTTAAAACAATTAAAGTGGAAACAAAAAAGTTTGATCGAAAAGTGCGCGAAGCTCTTGAAATACAGAGGTATCAATGTTCTCCTTTAAATGGTGGCATTAATCTAGATAATAGGGATGTACCGAAGCTAAAATTTTGCCGAAGCCGAAGCTTTGGCCGAAGCCACTTTGCCGAAGCCGAAGCTTCGGTACTATATATGCTTAAAATTTAATCAGCATTCAGATCAGCAGGGGTGTAAAACAAAAAAGATTCCAAAACTAAGATCTTTGACTAATAATATAAAAAAATGTATAAAAATGAGGACACAGTCAGGGTTGCTGCCCCAGGCAGGGCAAAAGCTCTCAGCGCCCCTGTTTGAAAGTTTCTCATAATGTCGTTTCTGATACTTCACCGCACCTAGTGTTTTTTTTAAAAACTTAAGCTTTTTTGAAACATTCTCCCCAAATTTTCCTACTTCTAGTTCTACTTTTTCTGTGTGCAAACCATATTAATGTTATATAGTGCACAATATCAGTAACTCACATATATTTCCAACTATTCCCAATATTCTTCTAAGATTATTGCAATTTTTTTGATCTTTTATAGCCATACTGTTCTTCTATGTAAACATCGTTTCTCTTTAATCCTCTATCTAATCATCTAATTTTTAATCCTCTATTTAATCATCTTGTTTGCTCTATCTAATTATCGTGTGCTAGCTGAACATCCTCAAATTTTATTCCCCATAAATTACTGTTACGCATCTTTTCATGTGCTGTATATTTTATTTTTATTTTTAATGCACCTTTTGTTAAGAGTGGATAAAAATCTCTGAATATTTCTCAAGTAAATTTATTTTTTACACTTGAACACTTTTTCTCTAAATAAACACTCTTAGCTGATCTAGTTGTATCTACAACATAAAAAATCTTACAAACACACTTTATCTTTTTATTGCTATTTATTTCAATATCTTTTTTTTACTTCTCTGTATTCATTAAACGAACAATTTCTAAACTAAAAAAAAACCCAAGTTAAGACCATTTTGTATTCCACTACAACTGTTGTGAATCTGCTGCTAAAAAAAAGTACTATTGATAGATTTCTCTCTAACTTCTTTTTTACACACTTTTAAGTTGTTGTTTTTTTTTATTATTTTTAATTTTACACTACATAACATTTTCTTAAGCTTCTATTAATCTTTTACACTCTGAAATTATAGTATTCATTCTTCTTCTGTCTCTGTAATGGATAAATCTGCATCAGTATCTGAAATCAAATATTAACTATCTGTGTCAAAAACTTCTATAGTAATCTAACAACTCAGTAGAGTGAGCTTTAAATAAAATAATAAATAGAATACTTTATAAATTTTTTATTTATAATTATATTATTATTTACTTTATATTTATAAATAAACAGGGACTGAGCAGGCTAATGTTTATTTAAATTGTTTATTTAATTTAAATATATTTTGATGATAAATATAAGAGCTCAAAGTAATCAAAGCTTTAACCTTTAATTTATTTTAAATAAAATTTAAAAGTCTTCATATCATAAGAAAAACCAGAATATAAGTTTATATGTTTAATATATAAATTCAATTTAGAAGTATTAATAATATTTATAAACGAGCAAAGATAATTATTATCATTGTTTTTCTTTTTCTTTTAATTTATGTAGTTTTGGTTGACTTTTTTTTTCTTTTTTTGTTCTCTTCATTTATATTTCATTTGCTTTTCTTCCTTTTTTGTTGTTGAGAACTTTATGTTTTTTATGTGTCACTCCATTGACTAGTTTGTAACTATATAAGTGACACCTAACCAATTTCTGTAATCTTACGATGAAAATTTGTAAATTTTTATTATTATGGTTAAATAAAATTTAAAAAAATTAAACATACACAGAATTTAAAATAGTAGCAACGTATCTTTATAATCATTATCTTTATTTTCCATTTTATTTTTAAAAAGTTTTAATTTGTTTTAAATTATAAGGTTTTTATTCTGCATAAAAATGCTGATTCAGTTCATCTAAAGTCACACTTGGAAGCCTTCACAGTGTATCAGGACTTTCCTTAATATTACTATTATATTCAAAATATTTCTACTTATTTATTATCATCCCCTCCATAACAAGACATTTGGGAGTAAATAATACTAAGTATATGGTATAGACTCCAACTTTAACTCTGTAGTCCTAAATTTAAAACTTAATTAGACACTGGCAGTTAGCATATTTTTATAACTTGTACAACAGTAGCTTATAACTTTAATTACTTAAAATTTTTTGCCGAAGCCAAAGATTCGGCAAAAAATTGACCTGGCTTCGGCCGAACCGAAGCTTCGGCCGAACCGAAGCTTCGGCAAAATTGCCGAAGCTTCGGCATGCCGAAGCCGAAGCTTCGGTACATCCCTACTAGATAACGGGCAATTTGTTAAAACTAAATTTTGGACTCCGTTTTTTACATTTTTACGTAAGCAAGAAAGAAGCCATTCAATTGCTGACGTCAGTTAGTTTTAAACTGTTTTTAACATTAAAAAATTTTTTACGAGCTGATTATGCTGGTAACCATAATCCAGCGAAAATTTCTAATAATAAACTATCATTTGCATTAAGAGAATTCGTATTATTTGATGTTTTTTTAATAATATATATATGTATATTTATAAATCTATATATATGTGTATGTGTGTGTGCGCGTGAGTGTGTTTAGGTGTGTGTGTAGGCATGTAAAAACACGTAATTGTCTTTCAACCCGTTCTGCCCGTATTAGCCGTATGGATGCCATGATATTACAACTTTCATAAATATAAATTTTTAAATATCTTCAACTATTTCTTAGTTTCCTCATGAAGTCAAACATTTTGATAACATTTTCATTTAAATAAAGTGATCAAAGCATTTATTTAAATCCTTTTCTTTGAATCGAAAAGAAAGTCACTTTTAGTGATCAAAATAACTCTTCAGTAAATACTTTATTTTAAAGTAAATAAATGCCACCATTTAACCATGATTGACAATATTTATTATTTCAATGGTCAAACTTACAAAATTAACCTACTTTGTAATAAAAAAATATAGTTTCCTAAGTTTATACAGCCAGTGAAACCACTGGTAGCCATACGGATGCTGTGGGCGCTAAAGGGTTAAAATATAACAATTTATTTTTAAATCCAACAAAAATACTACAACACTAAATAAAATCCTGCAGAGATATAATGAGCCGAAAAAACATTCTTTAAGAACGTAATAAACCAACAGCTAAACTGGAATAAAAAAAATAATGTTCAAACAAGTAGTAGAGATTGTCTAAAACATTGTTATTTAAACCTAGTTCAAGGAATTCAAAAAACGTTTAATTACGATTATAGTGATTTTTGTTGAGATTACTTCTTGTTCGAACAGTTGTTAAAAACTTATCCAGTCAACTTTTAAGAAAGTGATCCATTTCGAAAGTGATCCATTTCGATTACAGCTTTCAAAGGTTACACACTATATTTCAAAATTTTCCTTTTTTAATGCAAAGGCGCCATTTTGAATAAATTATTACTTTAAAATCTTTGCCTCGATTACCCAATCAAAAAGCAAAAACTAAATTTTTGTAAAATAATCATTCAAAATGTCAGTTATTTTTACATGAAACTTAATTCATATTATAGCTTAGTAACAAATTTCATTGAGAGAAAATAAATGACAATAAAAGTTTATTTTTAAAAATGTGCATAAAAAAATAACTAACTCTAAAAAATTAGTCAAACCAAACAAGATCAATATGATAAAACTGCAACGCGTTAAACAAAAATTTTCTCTCAAATGAATTTTATCACTACAAAGAACAAAACATTACAACTTCAGCTCTTTTGCATAATTCTTTCAAAACTAATTGTTTCGCAAATTTTTTACAAATGCTTTTTTTATATATTGATTGCTATGGCGTTGTTACGGAAAAAAAAATATTGATTTGATTAATGGGTCTTCCATAAAGTACGTGCCCAGGTATGGGGGAAGGATATACCCAAAAAAGTATAAATGCGTATTATGGAGTGCAAGTGTTAAAGACAGTGAGTATACAAGGTTTGACTGTTTGCATTTCACAACTTACGGCAGTTATATTAAATTATATAAACACACAAAATCTTGAAAGCATATTACATTTTTAATAAGATTGTTTGTAATCCACAGTAGGATCTTTGGTGTTTTTCCTTTAACTAATTTTTATTTTGCAGACCAGATATTTCATGGAAATATCTTGATTGTTTAAACTAATAACCGACTGACGGCAACTTCTCGAAAATCACCTTAACTTCGTGGAGTATGATGCTTTTGTTAAAATAATAATAGACTTTTGTTGTTAATAAAAAATATTATCATATCAATTTATGTTAAATCAAACTCCTCTTATCAAGGATTCTAATTTTTTATTTTACAAAAATATAAAGCCATTTTATTATTAAAAACCGAATAAAGAACTGCATATGATACAAAAATATTAACTCCACACAACCGACAGGCGTTGTTGCGTTTCTTTTATAAACTTGTCTTCAATGGACGTCAACTTTTGCACATACTTTAATGCGGCCCTTAAAGAAAAAAGTTCATAAAAGGTAAAAATAACAACAAACTATTAAAAAATAAAATAAAAATAAACTTACTTCTTATTGCCCTGCAGGTAGAAAAGCATTGCTCGAGAGAAAATTACATGTGGATCAACTTCGGTAAGCTTTAGCAGCTTAAAATAAATGACAAAGTGTTAAAAAAATGACAAAGAGCAATAACAAAAGCAATTCAAAAACAAAAAATGATACCTCATCAACAGTTTGCTGAGCACGATTCAACCAATCAATATCTTTAGAAATATAAAACGTCTGAAGAGCAAGCAAACACATGTTAAGAAAAGTTGACAAGTTTGAACAGTTGTGTCGTAAATTAAGTTTGATGATTTCATGGTAGCATAACTCGGCCCCAAGCGGCATTCGATAAAATTTGTACAAATGTGAAAGAAACTGAAGGAAGAAGCATACACATTATATTTTTGTAATTATATTCATAACGGCAAATAAAATATTTTAACGGCAAATAAACGAAAAGTTAAATATCAGCTCAATAAATTTAAACTGAAACTTTTTAGTTTAAACATTATTTAATTTAAACCTTTATAAAAAAGCCTTAAATATATCATCAAACATAAAAAAAAAAATTTCAAAAGAAAAATTTGTTTTTTTTTCTTGATTACTTAGATTGTTCTACTTTTGAACTATAAAGGTGCAATAAGATGATTAATGGCGATGGCGTAATGATGAGGATGTGGTGTTGATAACGTCATGACGAGTGCTGGGCTTTCAATAAAATGGTGTCAATTAAGGATTGGCAAGTTTTCAAGACCCAAGCACAACTGGAAGACGAATTTAGACCATATGTGTATATACCGAATTTAACTGAAAGACGAATTCGGATTTTTATTTCAAATCCGGCACCGAATTTAACTTCGCTTTTCTGTAAACATAATCCGAATTTTAACAAATATTCGATTTAATTTGTCTGTCTCAATTAAAAATATAAACCAGTTGTTAAAAATATATTTTTAAAAAAGAAATCAATTAAAAATATTGAGCGTTATTTTTAGTCATTGTTACGGAGACCTAATTATAATGTAAGATATTATATGAGACTGAGGACGTAGCAGTTTAAATACAAAAACGTTTAATAAATAATTTTTCCTAGAACCTAAAGTCTATTTTTAGCATGTATGTATGTATGTATGTATGTATGTATGTATGTATGTATGTATGTATGTATGTATGTATGTATGTATGTATATATGTATGTATATATGTATGTATGTATGTCTGTATATAATCAAATCTTTTAAGATAAGTAAATCTTACTTTCCACCGCCACAGTTCAGCATTTTGCGTAATTGTCGACAAGTAGCGTATATTTTCTAAACCAGATTGGTTGTCGCTTCCTGGCTTTACTTGCAACAGACTCACACCTTTTAAAAATATAAAATCTTCAGAAAGATTTTTATCATTACTTATAGAGGATATTACTTGGTTGCAGAATGACTGCGCGAGCAAAACATCACCATAATATATATGCGAGACGACAAAAAGTTTCATTAACCAATAGTATAGTCTCGTCATAGTTGCACGCATTTTAGTTTCATCCAAACGATTATGGATCGTTTTTAATTGCATTGATTGATTTATTTCATCCACTAAAAACAAGCGTTTATATAATTTTTAACTTTAATTCATACTATTATATATATATATATATATATATATATATATATATATATATATATATATATATATATATATATATATATATATATATATATATATATATATACATATATATATATATATATATATATAACTCCTGTGATGAATTAAAAAAGGTACACTACCTTTAGTTAATGCAAGATGCGCTAACCCTGTAACTAACTTTTTGTGATTATAACTTTCATATGACGCACAATGTGAAAAACAAGTTGAAGCTAACAACGCCCAGCTCTCTGGTTGATGGGGGTAGCTGTGGACATATCTTTTTACTGCATTTAATGAATCATTATTGCGCGGAAAAACAAGTGAAACCAAAGCTTGCAACATCGAAGACATCTGTAAAAATGAATGGAAAATTAAATAAAGTTTAAAAAAAATTAATGTGTATATGTAATTTATGTACATAAATTATGTTTATAAACATAATTTATTTTATACACATTAATTATAATTGTTTTAAAAACATAAATTATTTGACATAATAACAATTAAACGAATGACAAAGTAACTTTGTTAATATCTCAACAAGATATAACTAAAACAGTATTTATAAGAAAATTTGCTTAAATAGGTTTCTAAAATAGGTTTTTAGAAGCCATAAAAACATCTTTAAAGTCGCAAAAACTTGGCGATAACTGAAAAAATCCTACCGGGTGTGAGTTAGCTTTTTTGTTTGTTTGTTTGTTTGGGAAAAATTCAATTGAGAATTCAGATGAATAATAAAGAATACAAAAATAATTAATTTAGAAAAAATAAAAAGGTTTAAATTGAATTTAAACAATGTCATTAAAAATCATTGTAATATTCAACAACTTGGATTGCGTCCATATTTAAAATCGTTGTGTAATGCGTGGTCGTATGTTGCACAGCACGTTCACAATCACCTTCCATTATTGTTTTTTTTGCCGCAGTTATAACTTTTCCAAATACTGCATTTGTAATTCCACAATCCCAGCATCAAATATAAGTCGAATGCGAATCACATTTTTACTGTGACATTTAATTTTGGACCAGATTGTTTCCACTGGGTTTAACATTATACTTTAGGGTCCTAAACCTATTAAGTGAGCTAGTGAATTTTCAAATACCCTTTCCAAACTTATCAGTTACGACAACCAAATCCTCTAAATGATTCCCAGATTTAACCCACTGGTGAAACATAGCCAACATCTAATTGTTACATGAACTTGCATCAAATGATCCTCTGCGAGTTTCTATCATGACGGCATTTGTTGTTGATATAGCTGCAATCAAATGTATGTTTTTTTTGAAGCATTTTCATTATTGCTCTTCTTCCTTGTTTGACCTTTTTTGATGTCGCGGGGTAAAGCATAAGTGGTGATGACGTTTGTCTGACGGGATAAACTAGTTATAAATGCTGATCCTCATCGAAACGCCAGTAATAATAGACGCGATGTTTATTACTTAATCACTACACTAATTATGTTTACACATTAGCATTAATGCTTTTTTTCCATTATTAGTCCTTTCATTGTTGTTAGCATATTTTTAATTTGTTGAATGGTTTTTTGTTTTACAAATTTTTGACTGGTTATGTATTTCTTGTATATTTTAATTCATATTGGTATTTATAAAACATTTTTTTATTTTTATTTTTATTTTATATATATATATATATATATATATATATATATATATATATATATATATATATATATATATATATATATATATATATATATTATTATTATTATTTATTTTTAATTTTTTTATTTTTTTATTGTTATTATTGTTGAGTACTGTTTTATTGTGTAGCCTGTCTTATTTATTTTTAAATACTCCTCTATTAATCTTTATTTTTGTCTTGACAACTGTCAAAATATGCTTTGTCTAATAAATACTTCTCCTTTATTCTAATGTACTTCATTTCTTCCCTCGGGCGTTCACTGCTCGTGTGTGACCATTCGGCGAATTTTATATGCCAAAGTTTTTAAATAATATTGGGCCTAGCCCGTTAGGGTTAGTGTTACGGTCATCGAGCACGACTATTTTCCTAATCGCAATTACTGTCACCGCGAAACAGGATTTTTGTCTGTGGAAGATGCCTGGGCTAGCTTTTTAGTCATAAGTCAGTTATAAATCCATGCATAGGTGTTTAATCCATCATGGTTTTCTGGAGTATGGCTGGGCTGGCTTGGTTTAGTTCAGAGACAAATCTTTTACGCTGGTTACTAACAATACAAGAACGACATAAACAACACACACTTACACATTACACCTATACACCCTTATGCACATATAGCCTGTTTACATCTTTTGCATGCTTTTTGTTTTTTCATAGATAAACTATCTTTGTTTGAACTCATCCTTATTTAGATAACATTTTCTTTTAATAGATATGTTGTTGAAATGTAGATACAGATTTGTATGTTATCTATATGTGTTTATCATGTGTACTTGAATTTTTCATTAAAGGATTCATCTGAATTTACATATAAGTATAAGAGCGATTCTTATAAACTAGCGGCTTTCGACTTGTTTTTATGAAGTATGTTTTTCCTTGTTATTTTGTTATGGTCTCAAAGTTACATTTAATTCGGACCGTAGAGAAAACTTCACTTTTCGGAAATTTCGATTTAGATATGGTTTCAAAGTTTCTTTTAGTTCGGACCGTAGAGAAAACTTCACTTTTTAACAATTTTTTTTTCCCGCTTTCTACATCGTTTTTATATCACGATTTATATCATTGTTATAATACCGACAACTAATTTTTTAACCACTCATTTGGCTTAAAATTATCTGGTTTTATTACAATATTTATTTAGTCTTATTGCTATATTTATTAATATTTTACTTATCTCCTGATTTTCATATTATTACTGTTTACAGAAACTTTCATGTTATATTATCTTGCATTCATTACTCAGCTTTGTTTTAATTTTCACATGCACAATTTTTATCTTTATTATTATTTAGATAACATTTTTATATCCTTCATTTAATGTTTACATATATGTCGCTTACATTTTAAAGGTTTTTGTGCAACGTTCTTTTTCGCTATCATATATTATTCTATTATTGTTATAATTTTAAGTTTTGCGGGTTACTCATTTTCCTACACTTTTGATTGGTTATCATATTTGGAATGAGGTATCTATGACAGCGTTAGAGTTTATTTAAGGGTATTGTTTTGTTTATTAAAAAAAATTTTAATGAGGTATACTGCTTTCTGATTATCTTGGGCTTGTTTATTGTTTATTTGGTTTTATTTCTTAAAATAAATTGATTAATATTTTTATGTTTCTATTAGAATTTTAATTTTTTTTTTTTTTTTTTTTTTTTTTTGATTTCATGTTTTCTTTTGGTGGTACGGTAATTGTTTTATTTAGTTATTTTTATTTTTATTTTTGTTTGTTCAGTAAATCTATACTTTTTATATCATATCATCAAAAAAAATATTGGTGCTTTACAAATTTGGGGTTGGTTGGGTTTTGGCTATTTGTAGTGAGTCCTTTTTTACTGCAGTATGGAATAGGCGTAAGTCGCGGGGTAAAGCATAAGTGGCGATGACGTTTGTCTGACGGGATAAACTAGTTATAAATGCTGATCCTCATCGAAACGCCAGTAATAATAGACACGACTCTGAGGAGATGTTTATTACTTAATCACTACACTAATTATGTTTACACATTAGCATTAATGCTTTTTTTCTATTATTAGTCCTTTCATTGTTGTTAGCATATTTTTAATTTGTTGAATGGTTTTTTGTTTTACAAATTTTTGACTGGTTATGTATTTCTTGTATATTTTAGTTCATATTGGTATTTATAAAACATTTTTTTATTTTTATTTTATATATACATATATATATATATATATATATATATATATATATATATATATATATATATATATATATATATATATATATATATATATATATATATATTATTATTATTATTTATTTTTAATTTTTTTTTTTTTTTTATTGTTATTATTGTTGAGTACTGTTTTATTGCATAGCCTTATTTATTTTTAAATATTCCTCTATTAATCTTTATTTTTGTCTTGACAACTGTCAAAATATGCTTTGTCTAATAAATACTTCTTCTTTATTCTAATGTACTTCATTTCTTCCCTCGGGCGTTCACTGCTCGTGTGTGACCATTCGGCGAATTTTATATGCCAAAGTTTTTAAATAATATTGGGCCTAGCCCATTAAGGTTAGTGTTACGGTCATCGAGCACGACTATTTTCCTAATCGCAATTACTGTCACCGCGAAAGAGGATTTTTGTCTGTTGAAGATGCCTGGGCTAGCTTTTTAGTCATAAGTCAGTTATAAATCCATGCATAGGTGTTTAATCCATCATGGTTTTCTGGAGTATGGCTGGGCTGGCTTGGTTTAGTTCAGAGACAAATCTTTTACGCTGGTTACTAACAATACAAGACTCTACTGAACGACATAAACAGCACAGACTTACACATTACACCTATACACCCTTATGCACATATAGCCTGTTTACATCTTTTGCATGCTTTTTGTTCGCGTCCTTTCGTGACCATTTTTGATATATTGATCAATGTTTCTAACATATTCAGGCTCCTTGTGCACTTTTTTAATGAAAACAATCTGCTTTCAAGGTAATTGGCGATTGTTGTTGTGCTGACGTTAATATTAAATTGTCTAAATATTTTTGTTTTGACGGCCACCAATGCCAATTAAAAGTCACTTTTAATACAGCGTTTCTTGCATTTGATCCTCAGTCAATTTTTTTTTGGTTTAAAAGCATCTTTTCCGATAAGATTTGAATTGCTGCTGTAAACCCAACAATAAATTGTCTTATATTTGACACCTAAAGTTTTTCCCAGAGTCATCCAATAATGTACTGCAAATTTAGTGAAATAAATGCTGAAACAGATTCAATTTAATAGCAGACTTCAGGGTCATGGTGTATTGAAAAATAACACAACAATCTTTCAATTTCATTTTCATTGCTGGTGTATACAAATGCTTAATTTGATTAACTTATTCAAAATCATGTTCCAGCAGACTTTTTATAATGACCTATAAGCTTACATTGTGATTTTGCAATTACAAATTATGTATTCTCATTTACATATTACGATTTCTTAATTATAATTAATGTATTCTTAATTACATGTTGCGATTTTTAACTTAAATGTTGGGTTTCTCAATTAAATTTTACAATTTTTTAACTATATGTTGTGATTCTTAGTTACATATTATGATATCTAAATTGATATGTTGTGTTTCTCAATTTTTATGTTCTCAATTACATATTAAAAAGGTGTAGAGGAATATTTTATGGTATAAAATAAATTATTATAAATAAATTTTTTTTTGTCAAAACTAATTCCTATTATCTCTGAGTTCAACATCTGTCTTTTTTACAAGAAAATCTACAATATCTTTAATATCTTTAATGCAAATTGAAACAGCAGTTTCCTATTTTTTATTTAAAATACTTATTTAAACTAAATCTTCCAAAATAAGCCACCAATGGAATAGACTCTAAGTTAAAACCTTTGAAAAAAATTAAACTTAAAAAAAAAATTTGTTGCACGTGAGTTCTAAGAGCTTAATGAAAAAACAATAATATTTTTTTTTGCAATCAAAGCATTTTTTTTTTTATAGCAGATCATTTGGTCTGTTGTAAAAAAAAGTCCCGCTTAAAAAGAATTAGTTTGTCCTGTTTAATAAATTTCTTATATTATACTCAAAAAAGATTTATGAGTCAATTTAAAAATCAAAAAGATTTACAACTCAGACTTTTGAGTGCTTATGTTTATTACTTCTAACTACAGGATTTTTAATTTCATATCGAATATCATTTCGTCTCATTCAATAAGAGTTCCGTTTATAGATGTTTTCCTTCGATTAATAATTTTATTGCTAGTTTTTTTATCAGAAAACTTATTTTTGTTTGAAAGTTTAGATTGTGTATAACTTATTGTTTTCTTCAAAATATTTAAACTAAGCATAGTCATAAAAACTAAAATAACAAAAAAACAAAAAAAAAAAAAATAACAAAAAAACAAAAAAAGTAAAAAATAATAAAAAAAAGAAGTAATCAAGAATACATTTAGATATCAATATATTAAATTATAATATTAAATAATTTATGGCAACATAAACACAGAATTCAACATGGACGCAGAATTTTCTGTTGCAAATGTAGCGACTATGTGCTTTAAAAGGTAACAAGACAGGTAAAAAGGTAACAATAGTTCACAAGACTTTTTTTTAAAAATAAACTTACATGAGTAGGAGGTAAATTTTCTGTTATTTTTGAACATTGCTCTGCAAGCTAAAATAAAAAAGCTGAAAAGATTTTAAAAAGTTTTTATTTTTCATAACAAAAACTTATAATTGAAACCTTATTTGAAAATTTATTATCACTAGATTAATAAAAAAAAGTCTTACTAAAGTTTTACTGGGATAATGCTGGATCAAAAATGTTGACAGAGAACACCATAAGAGTGAGTTCATTGGATAACTAAATAAACAAACAAATAAACTAATTATTTAACAGAAACTCATAATGATAAATCGTATAAATCAAAAACTTTCAAGTTATGACATAGTAAAATTCATTCTAAAGTTGACAAAGCAAAACTCATTTCAAAGTCATGTCACATCAAAATTCATTTCAAAGTTATAACACATCAAAATTCATTTCAAAAGTTGCGATACAGCAAAACTCATTTCAAAGTAATGACACAGTAAAATTCATTTCAAAGATATGACAAAGCAAAACTCATTTCAAAGTTATGACTTAGCAAAATTGAACATATACAAATTGAAAGTTGAACTTGATTGAGGATTAAGTTCAACTTAACCTTTAATCAAGTTCAACTTTCAATTTGTATCAACAATCAGCAACAAAAAATTAATCTTCAGTTAAAAAACGCAAATTAAAAAATAACAAACCGAATTATTGCTCGAGAAATTTGACGTTGAGCAGGAATTAGTTGCCCCTGAAACAAAAGTGCATTTGTTTACTAACATTCTCATTACTATTTTATTTATATATATATATATATATTTATATATATATATATATATATATATATATATATATATATATATATATATATATATATATATATATATAATTGTTTAAATATTGTTATTATTGTTAATATTATCTTTATAAATAAAATTACATTTCTCAATAATAATTCTTAATTTTTTCATCTTTTGATTCGAAAACATTTTATAATTAAATAAAACTTGTTAGAAAAAGTTTCTTAAAAAGAAAAAAAAATTCTCCAAAATTTATTTTTAAACTATTATATTTTTACTTTTCATCTGTTAAAAAAAAAATGCTTTTAATACCTGGAATATATAAAAAGTAGACATTAATAATGTTTTCTTGATTTCAAACTTCTCACTATCTAAATTTAAAATGTAAATTCATAATATTGTCAAGAAATAAATTTTCATTAACGAAATTAAATTTTTTAAGTTGTTGCAAATCACTAAAGAACTTTGTTGCAAACTGGTGAAAAACTTTGTAGCAAATTACTAAAGACCTTTGTGGCAAACTGCTAAAGAACTTTGCTGCAAATAGCTCTTAACAAAATAAAAAAATTTTTAATAATAAAATATTTCAATAACCTTGTTTATGCTTTGAGAGTTCAGAAATAGAAACTGTTGCAAGAGTTGCATCACCAAGAAGCAAACCAAGCGAGGCAAGTGCCATTACACCAAACTCACATGAGTTATCAACCTGAATGCTATAACAATATATTAAAAAAAAAAGATAACTTCATTATTAAAAAGAATCAAAAGAAAATTAATTTACATTAATTATTTAGATTTATTTTTTAGGTTCAAAACTAAAACTTGTCAAATATTAAAAACAAAATGTTTTTTTAAATGTTAAACACAGAAAAAATCACAAAACTTCAGTGATATTCAAAAATACTCAGCACAATTTACACAATGAAAGTTATGCTTGCTATAGGTTGTTTGCATGAAGGTTTACATTGGCATAAATTTGCAATCAAACAAAAGAATATACACTAAATATACAAAATATGTTTTTTTGTTTTCAATTTTACTCTTCAAATGTTGTGATCATAATGATAAAGTATCATAGTAAATTATACTCTGCAATGGCTCAATTAGTCAAAACTGACCCTTTGGCAAACTGACAGAGATTTTAAAGTTTTTAGGGTATTTGGGTGTTAGCTAAATGTCAGAACTATGCAATTCAATAGTGGTCAATTCAAAGGTCCCAAATAATCAGAACAACACTATGTAATCATCGGATAACAAATTAGTAAAAAATTATTGTTAGTAAAACAAAATGCAATGTATTTATCAACAACTAAAGAGTTAAACTTTTTTAATATTATGTTTTAATTATTTTATCTCTTAAATGTTATTAAATAATTTATATAAGAGTATATTTATCAAATAAATTTAAATAAGTTAATTCTTTTTAACAAATAAACCTTTTTAAAAACTGTGATTTCGCTGTTTCAACATCTTTTAGTAAATAAAATACTTGTCCAAGAGCAGTATGTATGCATGCCTTTTCATAGCTATTTGTTGACAGTAATAATGCTTTTTCATATGCTAAAAAAGAAATAATTATTCAAATTTAGAATAAAATAGGTTATTAAAAAGTTAAAAGGAAACTGCTTTTACTTTCAACACTCTCCTTCCATTTAGAAGTTGCGTAGTAAGCATAAGCAAGCTGGCACAGCTCTAAGGAAGAGTTTAAGCTGCAAATTTTGTATATTTCTATTGCATCTTCAAATTTCAATAGATTGCTAAAATACAAAAAAACGAAAAACTTCCCGTTTAAAAACCATATTTATAAAAACTAGTTTTTTATTGAAAAAAACCTTCATCTCATAGAATTACCAGAGAACTCGAGCTTGATTTAGTAAAACATTTCTTAGTTGTTCTGATTGGTCATTTGATGTGGGTTCATTTGAACACAAACGTGCTCTAAAAAAAGTAAAATAATGATATTATTTGTTTATATATATATATATATATATATATATATATATATATATATATATATATATATATATATATATATATATATATATATATATATATATATATATATATATATATATATATATACATATATATATATATATATATATATATATATATATATATATATATATATATATATTACCAGGGACGTGGTGGGAATCAAACTCGAAACTGCTTACTTATGAGGTGTGCGCTCTACCACATCACCACTACCGCATTTATTTACCAAATTCAAACAAAACATTTAATGCCAATTTTATTATAATTAACAAAACCTTAATATTTCTGTTTTTATTTTAATTGTTTTGTTTACTATTTAAACAAAAAATTTTTGTTTAAATAGTAAACAAAATTTAGAAGTTAATGGTTTTTTTTTTTTTTTTAATTTTAATTATTTTATTTAGAATTTAAATAAAAAGTTTGTTTTGCTAAAATTATTTTAGTTTATTAAGAATTTCCTAAAACACTCGTTTTTCCATATTTAATTTATTTGAAAAATAAAATTAAGTTTTGAAAATGTGAGGTTAATAAAAAATTGATGACCTCAGACACAGTCTGATTGGCATAGCCTAATACTGATGCTAATTCCGAGGGCTGCATATATATATATATATATATATATATATATATATATATATATATATATATATATATATATATATATATATATATATATACATACACATATATATACATAAATAAATATATATATATATATATATATATATATATATATATATATATATATGTATATATATATATATATATATATATATATATATATACACACACACATATATATACATAAATATATATATATATATATATATATATATATATATATATATATAAACAGACAGTGCTCAATGTGAGGAGAAATAAGCCATGAATATAAAGACTTAAGTTAAAAATACCTTGAATACGCTTCTTCTGCTTGCTTAAATAAACACTCTTGCTCAAGTAACAAACCCAGGGTATTAAAAGCAAATGCATTGTGTTGAATACGATCTATATCAAAAAAAACATTTTAATTTATATTTTTATAAACAAAATATATAAAATGAAATAATATGAAGTGTTATATATAAATATATTGGGTGCAATCATAATAGTATATATGTGTGGGAATGTTCATGTGTGTGCACAATGACTAGGGCATGCAATTTACTTTATTACTATTTTTTAATCTAAAATTTTTTATAGAGAATTGCTATTATTTACATCACACATTGCCAATAAATATATATAGTCAACAAGTATTAATTATCTTTATTAATAAATTACAAACAAGTCCGCTGTGCAGCCTTGTTTGTCAAGATTGTGTTTCTTAGAGTTATAGAGTTGAGAGAGAGTTGTAACCACAACTAAAGTAGCCTCCTCAACTGTAGTGGCCTTCATGCCCTTGGAGATATGAATTGAAATAAATGTAAAAAAAAAAAAAAAAAATGAGGGTCCTGTAAAATATTATTAAAAAAAAAAAAAGATAACTTTTTTTTAAAGTTTTAACTTTAAACAAGCTTAATTTTTTTTTTAGTAACCGTAAAAAAACACCTGAGTTCCTGGTGTTCTTGTTTTTCTAATTTTTTTAAAGCGCTTTTAGTGAGATTACCAGCTTATTTGATATTTGATTGGCTTATTGACAACATTAATGGGCTTCAACAAGTTAGAACTGTGCAACCCTTAGTGTGTGTGTTTATAATATGTGAAGTTTGATCAAAATTAATTATATTTTACCAAAATTTTTTTGATGAACTTTTGTTTTTTATTTGTTTTTGCTAATTAAGCATTACAAAATTTGAATTATTACAAGTGTTTCAATAATTATTTTGATTTACCTAAATGCATAAACATTTAATTATTTTAACCTTCTCAACTTTGAAAAAAAAAATGCTCTAGCATTTAAAACTTAAAGCGATCAAACAATCATTTGTTGAAATCAGAAATATTAAATAAACAAATAACTATTTATTATAATCTTATAAATAACATAAAAAAAAACAATATTTTTTTCATAAATACTTTATTTAAAATGGGTACAAATATTTTATACACATTTTAAAGCTTTTGAAAAAAATTATTTGATACCTAACAATTTTAAATAATAGCTTATCTTAATGCTTGTGAAAACACATTGTAATTGATAAAGACAATCTTACTTTGAACAAGATATAGAGTACCACATAGATTATATGTAGTATCAAAATGCATGGATTAGTAAAAAAATGTTTGAAGTACTTATATATTAAAAAAAATTAAATTACCTGTATACTTCATTAAAGCAACAGAAGCATTAGATACAACTTTGCGCATATAAAAAGAAAGATGAGATAAATCAGGTTTTGGAAAAGTACTCAATAAGATAGACTTTTCTTTATTGCTCTCCAATAACTGAATGACAGACTGCCCATATGCTGTAGCAGCTTCACACTAAAATAATTACAATTCAAATAAGTAGAAAATGATGATCAATGTGATAAAACAACAGACAAAATGTATTTAAAAGATTTCTACAAAACAAAAACAAACAAACATGAAACTTGAGTTCAAGTGCATGCCTAAACAAATCCATGGCGTCAGTATCGGCAATAGTTTCTGCTATGCAAGCCTGTCAAGCAAATATAAAAAACAGCATTAGAAAAAAAAAAAAAGATATTTAAAAAGTAAAAAATAAAATTTTTTTAAAAACTTGTCCAATCCAAGCTTGTGGAAGTGAGGGATCAGTAGCCTGTGCGCGCTTGAACGCTTCATGAGCAGCCTATTAAGAAAATTTAAATCAATTTTATAATAAAAAACCTTTTACATTTATTTTAACAATCATTTTTTTCAATACTCACTTGAACTTTATCATGCTTTAGATATAAAACTCCAAGGTTTGCCCAAACAATTGCATCCTGCAAAAATCCTCAAACTTTATATTGAACTTATTTTTTCTACAAATATTCCACAAACAATAAACTTTATATGATTTTTTATTTAAGCTGATTTTAACAATTATACCTGATCGTTTAACTGCAACGATTTGATAAAAGCATGCTGACTTAAGCCAGCATTATGTTTATCTGCAAAAACAAAGAAATCAATTAAATAAGCTAATTAATAAAAAAACAAACAAAACAGATACAACAAGTGAAAAAAAAACAAAAACAAAAAAAAAAAAAACAAAAAAAAAGTTTAAACTAAATAACCTATTGAAGTAATTTAGTATGTTTAGTACAGCCCTTGGAATTAGGATTGAGTTTAAGGAAAGAGAACATATATCTAATCAAAGAATAGTTTAAGGTCTGCAATAAATTACCAACCTTAAGCTATTAGAGGTTGGCAAAAAAATTTGACACAGTTACCATAAAACATAGAAACCAGGTTGGAAATATTTTGCCGACCTAAAACACTTTTAGGTTGGTAGTTAGTATGCTGTCTTTTTTTAAACAAAATGAACTGCATATTTTAAATTTTGAAAAAAAACAAAAAAAAAACCTCTTGTTATTAAAAGTTGTTTACTAATTAACACCCTGGGGAATAAAAAGTTAAAGAAACATAAAAATATAAAGATTTGATGATCTTAAGTTATATGAGAGAGTAATAGTATATCCAAAAAAAAAAAAAAAAAAAAAAATTATTATTTTACGCAACATCTAACTGGTACTTATTCAAAATTTTTAATTTTATTAAAAAAATACTTGTATATTAACATTTCTAAATAATAAATTATTATTAAATCACTAATTATTCTTAATTTCTAAAATTCAAAAACTACTAACAGTTAACTCTCAGAAATTAAAGCTTTTAAGCACTATTGTTCAACTTTCAACACAAAAAAATCTATTAATGCAAAAAACAAAACAAAAAAGCCAACAAACAAGAAAACAGATGAATACAAAAAACAATGACTGCAATATTATACCATCAATTGCATATCCACATACTTTCTGAACATTACCAGAAAAACCTGTGATGACACCGAGTGTGTTCCAAATTGTAGAATTATTGGGATCAAGACTTAAAGCTTTTTTTACTATCTAGAAATGTTATTAAATTTGGAAAATAATTTAACTTCTAAAATTTAAATAATATTATAAATGCAAAAAATAAATTTTTATATTTATTTCAACTATTTTTAAAAATATTTACTTATAAAATTTTAATTTTTCACTAACTTTTAAAACATTTAGATACTTAATTTAAAAAATATACTTACATCTAAACTTTGTTGTACACCATCGTTGCTTTCTTGCTCACCTACATACTGAAATATTTGAACATATATTAAACAGTTGAGACATTTAACATTGTTTAAGTAAAAGTTCTTTTTATAAAATATACTACTATATTACAGATTTTTTAAAACATACAATAAAATAACGATGTGTAATGATAGCCAAGTCATGCCAGTAACTTGCACAATCTTCACGCAATTTCACTGCTGCAGCATAACACCTACTCACACACACAAAAAAAATAGTTTGATAAAGTAACTTAAAAAAAAATCTGTACTACAAACAGATTTATTGAAAATAAATAAAAGTATAAACCTTTTAGCAATCATGAGAACATCTTTCTTAGTTGCATGATCACTGATCATAATAACAAGCATCTTTTGGATAAACTCTGGAATAACTAGCCTATTTTTTTATAACATTTAAAAAATTTATTTTATACTTATAAAACAATTTATATGCTATTTTACCTTTAAAAATTGGGTGTTGTAAGGCTATTGGGGTTTGTGAGTTCAAAAATAGGGCGGGTTACCTGGTAACAACACAATTAAAGTTAATAAAACATAAATAATGGTAGAAAGTGCAGCAGTGGTAACTTACTTGCACCTTTCTTCTTTTACTAAATACAATGCTGAAAGAGCATCCCCTACAGTCTTCCATAAACAACTATAATGTGGTTGTTTCTTTAGTGCACTATAATAAAATGGTTTATAATAAAATAATTTAATAAAATATATATAATAAAATAATTTCTTTAGTGAATAAAATAAATTTTTTAGTGAAAAATAATTTCTTTAAAATAATTTCTTCTAGTATTTCTTTAGTTTCTATAATAAAATAATTTCTTTAGTGTACTAAAATAAAATGGTTAAAAACAAAATTGTTAAAGATAAATATGTTAAAAATAAAAGAGGTTAAGTACATGAATATGACTATTAGCTTAAGAGTAAACAATAAAAACTAAAATAAAATTGCACAGATTTATTATTATAGCTTCATTATCTACGAGATGCATTTGTAAAACTGCCCCCTTCCCCTGCAAAATAATTGCAAAACTCATTATCCAATATTATTGAATCTCTAAAAAAATTATTATACAATTAATTGTTTATAATAAACAAGTAATTCACAATATGAAATAAGCTTTCATTACAAGTGTAAAACACAATTTTTTATTAGACATATTATTATCATATCATATTAACAAAAAAGGTTTTTATAAAAACATACGTAGATATAGTGTCAACAACATTTTGAGCATATTGAACAGCTTGTCCATCAAAGGTATTCCTCAGCATAGCTTCTTCCAAATGAAAATAGGTTAATCCAAGGCCTTAAAAGTGATGTAAAAAAAAATTCTATATTACTCAAAGCAAAAAATAGTAAAATCAGAAATAATTTTAGAGATCAAAAAATTAAATTACAAAGTTGTTGAATCTGTTAATAAACAAGCAAATAATAAACCCCAGACCTACTTTCAGGGTATATATTTTTCTCCTAAGAGAACTGAAATAAATGAAACTAAATCTAAAAAATCTTAAAAATTTAAAAAAGATGTTTGTTTTGATTGAAATTTATTATGCCATGTTTGTTTTGATTACAACAATCCATAGAAATTCAAAAAAGACGCGCCATGTTTGTTTTGATTGAAATAAAATATAAACAAATTCACTTTATATATTAAACCAATTAAATCCATTAACAAAAAAATCTTTTAACATTTTAAGTTTTCAAGTATTAATTTATAGTCTAATCAATTAATTTATAGTCAATCAATCAATACCAAACTCTAACACCCTAACCCTTACAGCATGTATTTTTTACCTAACTCTCACATTCCACACTCTGCCCTAACAAAATGCATTTTCTACCCAACTTGTCTACTCAATTTCATGCATGACACAATACTATTAAAAAATGTTTACTCAAAAATAAATGTATAAATTACAATATTGGAATATCTAAAAATTGATTTTTAAAATTATCATGTTTATTAATAAAAATTTACAAAAAATATTCATACAGAAATTTTTTATATTTGATTAAAAACACAAACAAAAAACGAAAGCCATTATTCACAATGTCTTAATTAATTAACACTTTTTAAATTCTTTTTTGTAAATTGTAAAACTTAAACTAGAATGACTTTTAAAGAATTTATTTAAAAATATAACTCCATTATCTGCTTCTATTTATCTCTAGTTTTAGCATTATAAGTTTTAGACCATTAAACAATACTTTGCAGTTGTAAGACATGCTAATGGTTAAAAAGTTTACAAATTTAGTTTTATTAAATTATATTAAAGACCAGATCAATGAGATCAAGTTAATTCCTTTTTAATATTTTTAAATTTGAATTGAGCCCATATTGAAATTAGATTGTTACAAAATTTTCAGTTTTTAATTTAAATTGTGATTTAAAAATAAATTTAAAAATGTATGAATATAAATTGAATACGAAAATAAATTTTAAAATAATATTAAAGCAAAATTTATTTTTGTATTCAAATAATTTCTAAAACCTTATTTGCAGTTTTTCAATCTTACAAATAAAAAAAAAAAAAAACAGGAGAATTCAAAGAAATTTTATAAAATAAAAACTACTTGAAATCATTTGTTAATCAAACTTGCCTTATATCTCTATAATTTGTACTTAATTTTTTATACAAATGTTATTTTATTAATTTTTTATACGAATGTTATTTTGTTGATTTTTTATACAAATGTTATTGAATCAATGGTTTGCAAACTGATTATTTATATATATATATGTATATATATATATATATATATATATATATATATATATATATATATATATATATATATATATATATATATATATATATATATATATATATATATATATATATATTTATATTTATATTTATATTTATATATATATATATATATATATATATATATATATATATATATATATATATATATATATATATATATATATATATATATATATATAGATATATATATATATATATATATATATATATATATATATATATATATATAATATAATATAACCAAACTGTCTAGATTTGAAGCAAATATGTTTAAAATTACTCACAAAAAATTTCAGCGCCATTGAACCACTCTTTCCTTAGCCTCAAACCACATGTTTGGAAAAAAAGGACCTAAAAATGACCAAAAAAGGATTACTTAAAGTGTCTTGAGGGCAAGGCTAGCATAAATATTTATAATAATTTTGTTTTTCAGGATTTAGATAAATATCTGTATTTTTGGTTAAAAAAGTAGGTTTTTTTTAATTTCTTCTCAAAAAACAGTATAATTTACATTTTAAATCGGCTAAAAAATGTTTATTTCCTGACACGGCGTTGTTTTTAACCTTTTCAACAATTAAATTCAAATTTTGTTATTTAGATTCATAATACAGTTTGCAAATATATATATTCAAAATAAGAATAGAATTACTCATTTTATGTACATTTATTATTTGTAATACTTTAATCAGAATAAAATAAAATACTCCTTAAGTTACGACTACAATTTACTATTTATTATTTGTCTTCAAAAACCATACTTTGCATTTTTTTTACTTTTTGCAAAATTTGTAGATTTAATTTGGAAAAATGTTCTTTGTGTGAAGTATCAATGATATTCTGAAAAAATTAAACATGTGCTAAAGTATATTGCATCACTAGATATCATTAACAATTCAGAAATAAAATTCTTTTTTTTAAATTTACCGAAAATGATGATTTTGTAACATATGTGGTTTTTGCATTTAATATTATTTATCAAATCAAAAAAAAAATATATATACTTTAAATATTTAAAAAATTTTTGTAAGTTTCTTCTATAGTTTATCTTATTAATCTTTTTTTGTTTGTTCGTGTTTTGTTTCTTTGCTAAGGAGGAAAGACTAAAAAATAATCTTTTTTTTGTAAGACTAGTGGAGCTTTTCCCAGAAAACAGAAAAACTCTTGTTCTGTTCCTGAAAGCAGAGTGAACTCTGTCAACTGATATCAATCTGTTCTGTTTTTCCTCTTTGTTATTTTAACGATGGACATATTGCTGCATCATGCCAACGGCTCTTTCCAAATGGTCATTGACAAACATAAGGCTCTTGGCATAACTTTCAAAAATTTTAAACAAAGACTGTGTATGCCAGTATTGCGGTGGAAGTGAAAGCCAGTCTTTTATTCTTTCTTCAGTTAAACCACTAAAACTAAACATAAGGTAAGAAAACTCATCTACCGAAGAGGCTAAGCGCGGTGAATCTTGATCAGTACTAGCATTTTTTCATCTCTTTTCTAATGTACTTTTATTTTTTTTATTTTTTTAAAAGTGCTAAGCCTTAGGCATTTTAAATGAAAGAATTGCAGCTGCAATTTTTTGTTTTCATGCGAAGGCAAACCCTCATCCAATAGAGCTAGTAAAATCATAGTTGAGTCCAATTACCAAGTGTGCTTGTAAAGCGAATCAAGTACAGCATCAACTGCTTTTGGATTCCAACAAATATTTCTAAATTGATGCATCTGATGGATAGCTTTACTATCTAAGATGGGGCCCTTTGACACATTACTCGATTCTAAATACCACTTGGCATACAAACAAACCATAAACTCCGCAATAAGCTTTATTTCTTTTTTGAGATCATTTTTTTTTTGAAAAAAGTCAAGTGGAGAAAAAAAAAGCTGCATTTTTAGATAATAAATTGTTTTACCAAAAAAACGGGCATGATGAATAGCTCCAGTTTTCCTGATTTTATAATCAGAAGGTGATAGATAAGTCACAAATAATTCAACCAGCTCTCTTCTGCCTTCACGTTTATCTTCTCCTGCTATCCCCTTTCTTTCTATATATACTTTTCAAAAGTTCATAGAATCTTCAGCAGCCTTTTCACTTATACTACCATTCACCTCCTTCCAGTTAAACTTGTACAGATCACTTGGCGCATAACTAAAATTAGGATGTTCAAATAGGCTCTAAAATTTTTGAAACAATAAGTTTTCTGGTCCTGTAGTCAACTTGTTTGTTGTATGTTTTCAAAAATGCATCATTCTTAATTCTGTTATGTGATGCCTGCATGCTAATTTTAAAAGATATTTATTCAAATTGTTGGATATCTTGTTGATTGAACCGTTTTTGATCCCGGTATTGCTTGCAGTTGTATCAAAACAAAGACCTGCTAGTTTTGATTCAAGTTTATATTCCTTTAGTAGGTTCATAATACATGTATATTGATCCTCACCAGAAGAGGAAGTTAAAGGAGGAACACCAAGTAGGTGCGTCTCACCCTCAATGTTTACAATAACTGCCAGCCTGTCAACCTTGAACCTATTTCCTGCATTAATTTCATAAAGAGTTTTTCCATCAAACTGTATAAGAAATGGATAATGAGAAGCTTCTATTGCATTTTTTACATCCTCTTTTGCTAAGATTGACCTATTTTCATTTACTAATTTCATTTTTCAGTAAAGGCTGTAGACTTACTACAATGTATATCTGTAAGTTCAACACCAACTTCAGTTAAAATGGCACTTAGCACTTTTTGAAAATATTTGGCAAAACATCACTTAAAGTAGCCATAAGGGCAATGCTCCCGGCATACACATCTATTAGAATTTCTGCAGTTACTGTACAGTTAGATTGAGATCGTTCTTTTTAGTTACTAGGATCAAAATCAGAATCAGAACTCAAATCAGAATTGAGTTCAATTTCATAATTAGATTTTGTTAATTGCACATCCTTCGTTCTATTTTTCTTTCTGTTATTATGCTGCCGTCTACAAGCATAAAATAATATTAATTATAACAAAATGTTTTATAAGAAAAAATATCACTTAATACTTTTAATTTTTAAGTTTTACCTTTCTACTAAATTTCTTTTCCTCTGTCCTAAGAATAAACTTTCTTTGTCCTTCCTGATCTTCCAAAAAAAAAATCAAGTCTGCAAGCTTACCCTTGTCAGATCTTTTTTTGTCAATCTTAATAATGTTCTTCTGGCTTGCCTACCCAAAAAACCTTTTTTAAGTAATTCTCAAAGTTTTTTTATGTAATTCTCAAAGTTTTTTTTAAGTAATTCTCAAAGTTTTTTTAAGTAATTCTCAAAGTTTTTTTAAGTAATTCTCAAACTTTTTTAAGTAATTCTCAAAGTTTTTCTGATTTGTTAAATCTTTAGGAGAGCCTTTTTTTTTTTTTTTTTAAAATTAGAATATTGCTTGTCAAGTTTAATAAGATTTTTGAATAGTTAAGTGTCACTAACAATTTCAAACCCTGCTTATATCCAGGGTTTCTTAACCTTAGCTAAAACACAGTTACAATCCAAATTTTCACATCGAAGCGAGCATGTAACCAAACTGATTTTTTTGGTGGTTTTAAGCAGTGTAGATTGCAGGTATGCTAGATGATAACCAAGAATATATTTGTAAATATTATAAAAGCTGGAAAAATACTTAATATATTATTTAAATATTTGCTATATTTTATAGTTTATTTTCACTTGTTAAATAATATATACAACACATTATATCTTAATTTGTGTTTTATATTGCTTCTTATAAAATTAAAAATATTGTATTTATAAGTTAAGAACATATTCTTTTGTTTGGTAATGGTATTAAACATACATAAAATGAGTAATTCAATTCTCATTTTGAATATATACATTTACAAAATATATTATGAATCTAAATAACAAAGTTTGAGTTTAATTGTTGAAAAGGTTATAAAAACAACGCCGCATCACGAAATAAACGTTTTTTAGCCAATTTAAAATGTAAATTATACTGTTTTTTGAGAAAAAAGAAAAAAACCTTACATTTTAAACAAAAAATGCAGATATTTATCTAAACCCTGAAAAAAAAATTATTATAAATACTTATGCTAGCCTTGCCCTCAAGACACTTAAAGTAATCCATTTTTGGGTCCTTTTTTTTCCAAACACGTGCTTTGAGGGCAAGGAAAGAGTGGTTCAATGGCACTCAAATTGTTTGTGAGTAAGTTTAAACATATTTGATTCAAATCTAGATGGTTTGGTTTTTCAAATTCTACATTTTTTTTTTCTGAACACCCCTTATATATATATATATATATATATATATATATATATATATATATATATATATATATATATATATATATATATATATATATATATATATATATATATATATATATATATATATATATGTATATATATATATAGTATATATATATATATATATATATATATATATATATATATATATATATATATATATATATATATATATATATATATACAAACTCATATATATAAAATATATATACAAGTTTTGAAATTGTTTTAATTTGTGTTTGAAAACCTGAAAATAACTGTTGAGCAGCCTTGCACTCCTAATTAATTTAATAAGCTTGAGTAGATGTAAATATGTGTTAAATTATTTCCTGTTTGTTTCCATTGGATGATGAATGCTCAATCTTAACAGCTTACATGTTTATTCTTTGATTTGTGAAAATTCCAATAGTTACATGCTTGGCTTAGCATGTAACTATTGGAATTTTCACAAATCAAAGTTCAAACCAAGTCATTCTGTTGGATAAAATATTTATCCAACTGAAATATTTATCCAACTTGGTTCATGCTAAAATATTTCTTGATTCCTCAGTTAGAATACTTCAGGATTCCCCAGCTAGAATGCTACAGGATTTCCAAGCTAGAATGCTACATGATTCCTCAGCTAAAATGCTACAGGATTCCTCAGCTAGAACGCTACAGGATTACTCAGAAAATGTACAATAGAACTCCTTAGTTAAAGTACTTCAGAATTCTTTTATGAATACTCAGGTAACTTTATGGACACAATATAAATAACTTTAAAATTGACTGAGGGTGAATGTATTTAAAAAAAATGAAATAAATAAAAACTATAAAAAAATTATATTAAAAAAACCAAATGTTTACCTAAAAGAGCAGGAACATAATCAGGATGACTCTCAAGCAACTCTTTATATGCAGTAACTGCTTCCTTATACATACTCAACATTTGATTTACTTTGGCAACCCTTGTATAATAATAAAGATATTACATAGAATCTCATCTATTTAAAATCTTTTATTGTTATCATAAATATCAACTCAAGAAATTTTTTATTTTAAACTAAAAAATATATATATTTTTTTTACTAACGGTTTTATAAATCCTGTAAATAAAGATAGAAATAAAGTATTGTTGACTATAAGCAGTAACATGAGTTGCGTAAAAGATTTAAGACAAGAAAGTGCAAGTTAATTATGTTTGCAATCCATATATTTAACAGACATGCACAATCAATATATTTAACACCAAATACTCAACTAATATCTTCAATCATAGTTAAGTTAGTTTGAAAGATATAAACAAAACAATTTTTAAATGACATAAAAAAATAATTCATAATTAAGAATAATTTTATGCCATAAATAATTGCATTCATTATAATTTTTTTTTGTCTAGCTACATTCACTATTCACTCATAAAGGACTAAAAGTAACTTACATGTACTTCGAGTATACAGAAGACTCGTCTAACTAAAAAAAATATATATATATTTTTAAAATACTTTTGATTAAGTATGATACACAGTATAATATAGTATGTTATAAATAGTATACAGTATGCTGTATACTATTTATAGGATATTTAGCTATAAATAGTAATACAAGTATGTTATAAATAGTATATAGTATAATACACAAATAAATATGCAGCATGCATATATACACAAATAATTATGCATATAAAGTAATTTGATTACTATTTTTTGTTTATTTTTTATAAGAATAACATTTTACACATCTGATAACTAAATCAAACTTTAATGGTAGAAAACATTTTCTTTTAGAGCATAAAAATTCTGCAATGTTAAAGGCTATGTTAAAATATTAACACAAATTGCATTAATGTAAAAAAATTGTAAAAATTACAGCATTAATAATAATACAAAATAATAACACCATAATAAAAATAACACAAAATAATAACATTAATAAATAATAAATACATTAAGTTTATAAACTACCAAAAATATTTTTCAAGACACTTTTTTAAAACTTGGTTGATGTTAATTTAAATATTGTATAATATAAATATTCACTCATAACTTATTTGGCTCCTTAAGAGCATGCTAAAAAAAATATTAAAATATGGCACAAAATATCTTGCATACCTAAACCCCTTAATATTTTTGAATTTTTCTAATAAAAATAAATAATATAAACAGTTTCTTAATGACAACATTATTATAGTAACAACACATACTGAAGAACAAAGTAATAAACACATTGCTACAAAATAAACTAAATTTCAACTTAATTGTTTAGATTCACTTCTAAAAAAATGTGGTTAATTTTTCTTATTTATAAAACAATGTAGTCTATGTGATTATAAAACTATGTGGTCTTTTTTATTTATAAAACAATTTATGTTTTTATTTCAAACATAATTTTTTTTTCAATAAAAACAACAATATAATAATGTAACAACAAGACTCAGCAACAAAAAAGCATATCAATATCATGAATATAATGGCATAGTTGATACTCAGCATCGGGTGCAACAATACTGCTGAGATTTTTTAATTGTTTTATATGTGTGGATTAGCTTTTTGGTATGGATTTGCAACAAACAGTTTTTCTAACATATTATAAAATTTTATAGCTTTGGACTTAAAATGCTAAATGTTAAAATAACATTTTATATAATAAATTAACAAGTGTTAAAATAAATAAGAATTTGAAATTGTTAAGTATAATATTACCTGAAGTGACTTTTTGAATGACTTTAAAGCAGATATATAACTCCCTTTGTTAAAATAAGCTTCTGCAAGACATTCCCAATAATGGCTACAAATAATCACAAATGAAAAATGAAATCACAATGAAAAAACTAGACTAAAAATAAAAGAATACTTTTAAATGAAATATTTATATTTAATATTTGAAATATTTAATCTTAAATATACAAACAAAAAATAATAAAACTTTTATTCTAACAAAATTTTGAATTACAATTTGTCACTTAAATTTCAGTTTAAGGCTATAATTGTATTATATTTAAATATACAGCAAGTCTGAATCAGCCAACCATACCACCTGGCTACCTGATACACAATTTTCAACTTACCTGTAACTAAGCATTGTATATTATACAATGTAGAAAAGTTATTTATAAGATTATTATGTTGAAAAGGGTTACAACAAGTGACTCAACCAATTAATTTCATTTACAAACAAAAAAATTTTTTCTCCGCTTAAATAAACATTTCACAAACAAACAAATTACCTTATATTTGATTGCTCTCTTAAGGCTTTTTGGAAGCTAAAAATTTAAAGAAGTTTCAAAGAGTTTTTTAACATATTTAAAACATTAAAGATAAAAGTTTCAAAGAGTTTTTTTACATATTTAACTTTTTTCTATGTAAATTGACCTATCATATTTGAGTTTGTTGACACACCATACGCTTAAACATTTTAAACAACATTCAAACAAATTAGGAACCTACTAAACTTCTTATACAAATTGATTCACACAATTTTGTTAATGATTTGTGCTATATGTCAAAAACAAACCACAATATGTTTGACAGTGCATGTGTGACCATTGTGAATACATTTTCATATATTTATACATTTTTTCAACAATACTTTCAAATGCTTGGTTTGAGACATGTGTGAATTGCCTCAGTTGTAAACCTTTTTTAAAGAATAAAAAATGTGCACAGATTGCTCTGAAAAAAGTCTTTTAAACTTTCAACATTTTTAAATGAAATAACTTTTAAATTTGTTTTCACTGTTTAAAAATCAAATTAAAGTATAAACATAATAAAAACAAAACATGTACACACAAAAAAAGTTTAAGGATAAATACTTGCCATATTATAGCTTTATCAAAATTCTTTAACTTTAAGTAAATAAGACCACATCTCACACACGCCCAGCTGATCCTACAATTAAAAATACAATAAACAATATTAGTTATTTTAACAAATACATAATTTCACAAATCAATGGCCTAACACCAAGACTAGTCTAAAAAGAATAATTAATTTAATGTTTGACCATTTTTATAACTTTTTATTATAAACGTTTCAACCACAAATGTTTGCTTTTTACTTGCACACAGGAAAAACTTTATCAAAAATGCTTTTATAATTTTTTTTTCTATGAAGTATACCTACTATATACATTTAAAATAATTTTAACTAAAAAAAAAATTATAACAAATATAAAATATCTTTGCTTACTGTCCAGTTTCTCCATTGGATATAACAGTTTCATATACATTTATTGCTTTTTCCTAAACCAAATGGGAAAATAACATAACAAGTGGCTTACTAGTGTTGGTGTACCATAACTTATTACATTGACATTCTTTTAGTCTGCCTGTGACAGATTATGAGATCATTAATAATTCTTAGTATAGTTTGTAAATGCAGGTGGTAAAAGTGTATAAAAAAGAAATCAAGCATAAAGGAAAAATGTTGCAAAATGTTGAGATCAAAGTACTTTATCTGAAATATTTTGAATTTTATTTTACAAAAGCTTTTTTCATTCTGTATTAGACTAGAGCAATCAGCAACTGCCCATATAGAGCATATAGAACATATAGAACATATAGTACATATAGAACATATAGTACAAATAGTACAAATAGAACATATAGAACATATAGAACATATAGTATAAATTAATGTTACATTAAAACTCTAATGTTTTAAAACTTTTTTTTCTTGATAAAAACGAAAACTTCTTAATTACTTCAAAGTGAAATACTTTTGCCAAATCATTTTCAATTGATGATTATGGAAAGTCTTGGTGGACTCAAGGTGAATCACATATAGTTCTTGACTAAATTCAGCTGAGAAAAAATTATATTACAAGTCACAAACAACATATTGTAAGAAATAAAAAAAAGGATCAGTGAGAAATATGAGAGATTCCATTCAGCTATGAATTACAAAACATTATTGACCAGTTTATGGCAAGTTCAAAACCTATAATGGTTTTAGACCACTGTTATTTCTTTTCAACAAAAAGTGTTAAAATATAAAATAAATACAAATAACTTTTTTTTAGCCTTTGAAAAAAAGTTCTTCATTAGTTGGTGTATTGTAACAGACACTTATAACTCTTCTTCATTAAAAGTTATCATATATTTTGTCTATAAAAAAAAGTAATGCAATCTATAGTTTTGTCAGCCTTTTCAAACCCTTAGTCTGAAGATACAGTTAAGTATGAATAACTTCTCTAACATGCATACCATACCAAAATTAAAGGTAGCACAGAAATGGAAAACGCCAGACTGCAAGTAAAAAACACTTCTTTTATAAGAATTTTTATTTTGATTATATAGAGCTTCAGTCACCAATAATATATTTATCAAACTTTATTTAATTACTTTTATTGTAGTATGATAAGGACTCTATAATGTGGTTGATAATCATTTCACTTCAATGTGGTCATTTAAAATATCCTTTCTGTGAATGTAAGCAAATGTTCTCTTAAGTTCTGAAAAACAGCAAACAGAAAGCAATTTTAGTGAAACAGTGTTGACTACAAGTAAAGTTTTTTTCTATTAAAATGCCAAAACACAGTGTCATTATCATAAATTTGCACATTTTAGTATTTGTAACTCTCTTGACCATAACATTGTAATGAGTTCAGATTTATTAAATATCAGCACTCTAGCCAATATCTTGATTCAAATCTCAATTCATCAGGATTACCACCAGAATCTTCGTCCACTTTGAAGAGGAAAATTCAAAAACCACTTTATTTATTGTGAATTTTTACACAACTGATCACTTCATCATATCAAACATTTAAGCTATGTGGAATATGTCAAATTGTACTATCAAACATAACCCCATAATACCTGGCATATTAAAAATCATTGATAAACTGTTATATGAATTTTTGGTTAGTATGATTCACAAGAATACACACTGAGTGTTTGATAAAAGACATTTCATTTTCATTAAAAGGCAATAACTATATCATTAAACTTTCATACGCAAAATATTTATTTGCTCTTAAATTGTATATTGGTTTTATCTCAAGATAACGCTTTTTTAGCACTGTGTTTATTACAGAAAACATTCGCAACTTTTCAAGAAAGTTTTCACTTTGCTGCCAAGTTTCAAACCCAGCAATAATTCGGATATCATGTGTGCTTAGGATAGCAAAGAGTCAGCAGCATAAGCAATTTTTATAAAATTTTCTCAATATTTTACCTTGTAAAATCACTCTTTTGATAGTAAGAAACTTCTGTAAACTATGCTTTTGATGTTTTGTGGGAAAGGACCACCTCTGTTCTAGAAAGAAACAATACCTCTTTTAATGGTTACAATATGCAAACACTGAACTAGTCTCCAATTAAAACAGTTTTTTAAAATACTTGAAAATACTGAGTTTTCAGATATTGGTTTTATTACTAAGCAAAACATTAAAAACAAAAACAGATTTTCCATTTCAGTGAAATTTTATCTACTAAAACATCATATCTTAAATTACAACTACAGTTTTTAACTCCAGGATAAAAATGTGATCTCTGTGGTGCTCTGTGACACTAGTCGTGTCACAGAGCACCACAGATTAATTTACAAGGAAGGTCACCTTGCTTTCATTACCATAAACGCTTATAGATATAATAGATAATCAACTTCTGATTGTTTGATTCTGATGTCTGTGCTTCTAACCACTGCACCATATGCTCTTTGTTATTTTATCATCATTATCATTACTTAAATCAACTTAACCAGAAGCAACAGCATCTGCAACCAGACGCATCAGTATCTGCAGCCAGACACAATAGTATCTGCAACCAGATGCACCAGTATCTGCTTTGACATACAGACTCATTTAAAGCAATAACAAAAGATTTTAATAAAAAATATATTTATTTATATTAATAGCAACAAACTTGAAAATCTTAATACCTATCAACAATGAAAAATTACAAAATGAAAAAAAAATTGACACCATAACTAATGAAATTATGTATATATATTATATATATTAAAAAACTACACTAAAACAAGGTACTTGATTTATTGATAAAAACATTCATTAAAATGTTAACAAAAACACTTTTAAAGATATCATCATTATTATAAAAAAATGTTACCTCCATCTCAAGTTCCAAATACAAATCACTTAGGTTGCCTCCAGCTTCTTTATGAGAGCGATTTAAAGTGAAAGCTTTTTCAAAGCACTTTAAAGCTTTCCTAATGAAAATTTCAACAAATTATATACTAAATAACATTGATGTCTTATTTAGTCAGTTGATGGCAATTTTACCAATCCGTTAAGCCAAAAATGTTACGCCAAAACTTATTTTCAATTAGAATATTTAAACTGTTAAAATTTTTGAACTGTTAAAACAATTGTTAAAACTTTTTTCTTTTTAAAAACTTAAAATGCTCTGTTTTACAATTTTAAAATTTTTAGTTTTACTTTTAAAATTTCCAAACAATGTTAAAGAAAAAAATTATTTTTATCAAATTTAATTTAAGTTACATTTTTAATGGTTGTTTTACATTTAACTATTTTGTTATTTATATATTTATTTATATATATATAAAAAAAAAAATTAAATATATATATATATATATATATATATATATATATATATATATATATATATATATATATATATTTAAAATATAATTATAAAAATGATAAAAATATATATAAACAAAATTGTTAAATGTAAAACAAACAAAAAAAAAAGGTATTTTTAAAAAAGTATTTTGTATAATAAAAAGCATAATAAAAATTTTGACATAAATTTGAAACTTTAGTTTCAAATAAAATTTTTTTTTTCATTTTATCATTAATTTTTTAGATCGATCATACAATAAACGCCAATTAGAGTTGATTAACATTAGTAGACAAAGAAGTCAAAATGTTAAAAAAGATATTTATATATATATATATATATATATATATATATATATATATATATATATATATATATATATATATATATATATATATATATATATATATATATATATATATATATATGTATACATATATATAAATATATATATGTATATATATATATATATATATATATATATATATATATATATATATATATATATATACATATATATATATATACACACATATACAAATGTATGTATGTATGCATGTATGTATGTATGTATGTATGTATGTATGTATGTATGTATGTATGTATGTATGTATATATATATGTATGTATGTATGTATGAATGTATGTGTATGTATGTATATATGTATATGTATTTTACATTTGTATCATAACTAAAAAATTAATTACATTTTATCTTTGACAAAATCTCGTTGATATATTCCAAGGTAAACAAATGTAGATGCAAAGTATGAATCAAGCATGGCTGCCTAATAACAAAAAGAAATTCACATATTATATATATATACATATATATATATATATATATATATATATATATATATATATATATATATATATATATATATATATATATATATATATATATATATATATATATATATATATATATATATATATATATATATATATATATATATATAGGCTAACAGAATCATAATTTAAGCCTTAGACATTTTTATATTATTAGTATGAAATAAAGTAAGCATTTTACTTGTATTTTGAAATAGAAATAAATTAAAACACAAGAGTAGATAAAGTTTCAAAATTTAATAAAAATAAAACAAACAGCAGGCTAACAAAAGTATAAAATAAATATGCTTATGCCAATATATATCGCCCCATTTGCCTAATGTTCTTTTGAAAATTTTGATAGCAAATGGATAAATTTTCTTAAATATTGACAAAAGAGCAAAGAAACAATCTAACTTTACAAATATATATCTCAGTTATTATGAGTTAAAAAAAAAAACATTTATATATGGTTTGATAAAATTGTTTTTGGTTTTTAAAAACTTAAATACTTCAAAACAAAAAATATCTTTAAATTTAAGAAAATAGTTTAAATCTGAAAAAAAAAAAAAGTAAATCTGTTCATTCCACTTTGTGTGATAACATTTTAAATTCTAGTTCAATCTCATGTATATCTTCCTGATGATGTTGATTTAACTTTGTTTTTTTAGCATTTAATTCCTTAATTTTCTGCAAAGGTAATTTTTTATCAATACAGTATTGTTTTTCTTGCAATTTTTCCTCTTTTTTTTCATTTTAATGAATCTTTGTAGTTTGAGTGGGACATATTTACACTTTTGATCATTGATTTTGTTATTTCCACATTGCAAACTCCACCAACGTGGTGAATTTCATCATAAACTTGTCTTTGGGCAACCACAGAGCTTTCATGCAAATTTTCAACTACCTGCTGCCTCGTAGGATATGCTATTTTTAGGCAAAGGCTAGGAGATGCCAACTCTGACATAAAACACCCTCTGCCTTGAGGCTCTTGGTTGAGTAAAGGCTAGAGATGGTGTCTTGATAAAAATAATCATCTTGTGCAGATGTTAAATGCCTACGGCTGCTGTCTTGTAGAAGGCAAAGACTTAAGGGGTAAACAGATTCTATCTGATGACCAGCCTCGCACCCCTTCTTCATCTATTAGGCTGGCACAGATGTATTTTTAATACATTGTTTCCAGTTTAAGATGTTGAATGCTGGATCTTCTTGACTCAATGCATGGGTTTTGCTTATGTCTCTATTTTGATGACTAGGCAACTCATTCTATTATCCTAATGAGGGTACAGCTCTAAAACTTAGTTTTATGGTTCTGAGGCGGCTGGCAGTCAGGTTTCCCAAACTCTGTGGTAGCTCTCAGAGAGGCTGATTCTATCAACAGCTGAAAAATATTAAAGTATAAACAGTGCCATGTTGCGCATGGATGGTGTCCCTATTTGTACCTTTGGTGTACATTGCCAAGGCCACATTGGAACATTGCTACGGCTTAGGGTTTATTAATAGTAATGACGCAATTGCTTGGGCTGTAAAACAGTGTACAGAGTACTATCTATGATTCAAGTCAAGTTCTTTAACAATTTAAAAATGAATAAAGAAAGAAAAACTATAAAACACAAAAAACCAGTCATCACCAAATTTGCTAAACCTATCATTCACTAATATTTGCGGTCTTCGATGTAACTTTTCTTCTGTTGAGTCTTATCTCTTGCAAACTTCACCAGACCTACTTGTTCTTTGTTAGACTAATTTGAGTTCAGCTGTCTCATATTGCGATCTTAGTGTTAATGGTTATCTTCCTTTAGTTTGTAAAAACTCCAATAGTCACATGCTTGGGCAGGGCATTTACATTCGTAAGAATTTACCCATTTGTCAGGAAAGGATCAGAAACAAGACATCCACAGACTACTCTTTTATGTGCTTTAGTTTAGCACCACTTTACTCTATCACCTTTCTCTTTGTTCTATATCGCTCTCCTTCATCTTAAGACTGCACTCTTCTTGATGTTATTTCTGATCATATTGACCAAGCCCTCTCTCTTTATCCATCAGCCAATATTGTTGTTGTTGGTGACTTTAATGTTTATCACACTGAATAGGTTGGCTCTAGTGTCAGTGACTCTGCAGGCATTAAAGCCCACAACTTTTGCCTTTCTTAATCCTTAACTCAAATAGTCAACTTTCCAACTCGCTTTCCAGACAACCAGAATCATTTACCTTCTCTACTCGACTTATGTCTTGTTTCTGATCCTAGTTAGTGCTCAGTTTCTCCACATTCAACCTTAGGTGCCTCTGATCACAGTTTGATCTCTCTAAAACTTTTATCTCATTCTTCTTTATCACCAGAATCCCCCTATCATCATACATCTTACAACTACCTTAAAGCTAACTGGGTCTCTTTCTATGATTTTCTTCGTGATGGCCCTTGGGTAGAAATCTTTCGTCTTCCTGTTGACAAATGTGCTTCTTACATAACTTCATGGATTCACGCTGACATGGAATCCTTTATTCCCTCTCGACAATTTCAGGTCAAGCCTCACTCTTCTCCATGGTTTTCCTCGCGTTGTGCTGCTGCAATTGCCAATCGAAACCATTACTTCCATATCTATCAGCAAAACAATTCTCCAGAAAACAGACATCTGTTTATTACTGCTAGGAACCATTTGCCTAATGCCAAAACCCGCTATTCTCAGGTCATGAAATCTCATATCTCATCACAAAAATTAGGCTCTCGTGGCTTCTGGAGAATCTTTAATAGTATCAATAATAAGGGCAAGTCTGTAATTCCACCTCTTTTGTATGGTTCAGACTTTGTTACCTCACCTAAAGACAAAGCTGAATTTTTTGCTAAGAACTTCATCAATATTATCTCTTGATTCGACTAGTTGCGTTCTACCTGATATAGCCGTCAAACAGGTTGATCAATTGCTTGACATTTGTATCACTTCAGCCTCTGTATCTAAAGTGATTTCCTGTTTAGACTCTTCTACAGCTTGTGGCCAGGATAACATACCTGTTATAGTCTTCGCAGAAGTGTTCTCCAGAACTGTCGTCTACCTTTTCAAAATTATTCAACAAGTGTTTATCAGTCTTGTTTTCCAGCCTGCTGGAAAGCAGCATCTGTTATCCCTATTTTTAAAAATTCTGGAGAGTGATTCGTCTAACTACCTCCCCATTAGTCTTCTTCCTATCATAAGCAAGGTTTAATTAACAAACACTTATCTTGAATCTTGAATCTAACAACTTACTTTGTGATCATTAATATAAATTTCGATCTCCTTTTCTACGGCTGATTTGCTAAGAGTAATAACCCATAGGTTTTATTGTGCATTAGATAAAGGCGGAGAGGTTAAGGCCATCGCTCTTGACATTTCTAAAGCTTTTGATAAAACTTGGCATGCTGGTCTTCTCCATAAGACTTTCTTCTTACGGTGTATCTGGAAACTTTCTTTAGGGTATCATCTGGAAAGTTTTCTTCTTACGGTGTATCTGGAAACATCTTTAAGATTATTGAATTCTTCCTTTCCAATTATGGTATAAAAGTTGTCCTTGATGGACAGCACTCTTCTTCTTATTCTGTAACCTCAGGCGTTCCTCAAGGTTCGATCCTTAGTTCCTAAGTGCTCCAAAAACTCTTATTTGTCTAGTTTTTTTCATCAAACATCAGTTCTTTGGAGTTCGCTTCCTTCATCTTGCTTTCTTGATTCATATAATTTGCAATCTTTTAAGTCATTTGTCAATTATTATCTTGCTCTACAATCTTCATCTTTTTTCTTCCAGTAACTTCCAACACTAATTAGTGGTTGCTTGCAGCCTTGTTGGAAGCGAAGATGTTTAAAAAAAAAAGTTAATAAAAAGTCTGGCTAATAAAAGGGGTTTAAAAACATCCAACCTATCCTTATAAACAATTGTAACATTAATCCATTTAGATTCGTTAAGAATTGTGAGTAAATCAGTCATTCTGTTTTTTCCAGAGTCGAAATTAGAACATATAATAATGGGGTTTAAAGCTGAAATAGCTCTTGTAAGTTTATACTTTAAAAGACTTCTTCCTCTCAGTTTATTAACAACTCCCATGTAAAACTGAATACAATCACTTTGAAACTGTAACTTCTGACATTCAGTTATTTCTATTTTACCAAGTAGAGAAGTTGCAATACCTATTTTTACTTCTTTTGGTGACACTTGTGCACGGTAAAGTCAATTTTTATTAGCTTTATAACAGATTTTACTTCCTTGAATACATCTTTTTTAATAAGGTTTTGCATGAGAGATCTCTTTAGCTTTTCAAGTCCTTGATATAAGAATGGTGCTAATGAAGAATCTGACTTCTTTAAAATTAAAGCAAATAATGAAAAAAAGCAATTTTAGCAGGCATCAGAAGATCATTAACAGCATTGATCAGGCAACCATTGATCATTGACAATGTTTATTTTGATCAGGCAACATTAATCATTGACAATATTACAGTATAATTAATATGTAGTTGACATATAATTTCACATTATCATAAATATCTAAAGCTAATTTTGACATATAGATAAATTTTCAACCCATCTTGTTGAACAAAATTTGAGAGAAAACTTATCACTTCCACAAATTGATTGATAATCTGCCCTAAAAGCAGGACCTATCATGAAAAAGTTTATAAAAACTTCTGAGAACTGCATAACATTCCATTTCACCTTTTTATGACCTGCTTGAAATGCACCATGTACAACATGTAGGCCACATGATTCCATTTCAAGAATAGATGTTTCAAACTGCTTACCAAATTCATCATTGAGAATATCAAAAAACTTCTAATTCACATTTGGTCCATCCATAGGAATTTGTAATATTATGGCTTGAAGATTTTTATCTAAAATAGTTGTAAAACCTTTGTACAAATCATTTGCAGATGCATGAACAAGAAACACTGATGAAAAGTATCTTGTAGTCACATTGTTGGGAATAACATC